CTCTCTTCAACCTTGTACAGAAGGACTGGCTTTTGAGTAACAGATAGTCTTGTGGGTTCCCAGCTCCTGCTTGCTTCACTCTATACCCACCACCCAGAGGAACAGGTGCCTACCCAGGATTCAGGTCCTTTCTGGTCTACCCTCCAGGGGACTATGGGGAGTGGTGGTGGTTTTCCATGGGCCCTAAACCCATAGTGATTCCAGATACTGGCTCTGTATCTGGGTCACTCTTTCCCTGTACCTGCTTTCCATGCTCTTCCTTTCTTATCTTTTCCACTCTGGGTGTCCCATGCTGTCACTCTGTGCCTTTATAATGCTGTTTCTGAGTGGGATAATCAAGAAGGTAGTGGCTCTCCCCAACCTTCCCAAGAGAAGCTAGTTAGAAGATACCTCTAGGTACCCATCTTGGAGCACTCCCCAGTATTTGCTTTTTAACTTTGTTTTACTGAAATCTTTACTTAACTTTGTTATATTCCTTCTTTTTCTGATTTAATGGCAATAATGTCATGGCACTCTACCAAGGGCAACAAAGTGAGACTCTGTCTCAAAAAAGAAAACAAAAACAAAAACAAAAATACTCCTGGCCTCAAGTAGTCCTCTGCCTCAACATCCCAAGTAGGAACTACAGGTGCATACCACCATGCTCAGCTAAAATTTTTTTCTATTTCTAGTAGAGATAGGGTCTTGCTCTTATATGGGCTGGTCCTAAACTCCTGAACTCAAGTGATCCTCCTGCCTTGGCCTTCCAGAGTGCTAAGATTACAGGTGTGAGCCACCATGCCCGGCCTAGATTTTTATCTTTTGAAATGAAAATTTCTCTTCTCATCTTTAATGATTTCATCTTTTCTCTGTCCTTTGAGATGCTTGTTAGATGGATATCAGAAATCTTTAGCTCTGTTCATGAAGGCTGCAACCCATTTCTCTCATGCTATTTTTTCTTTTTCTTTCTTCTTTTTTGGAGACAGAGTCTTCACTTTATCGCCCTCAGTAGAGTACTGTGGCATCACAGCTCACAGCAACCTCCAGTTCTTGGGCTTAGGCAATTCTCTTGCCTCAGTCTCCCAAGTAGCTGGGACTACAGGTGCGCCACAATGCCCGGCCATTTTTTGTTGCAGTTTGGCCAGGGCCAAACCTGCCACCTTGCATATATGAGGCCAGTGCCCTACTCACTGAGCCACAAGTGCCATCCAACATGCTATTTTTTCATCTATAGTTTTTCACCTTGTTCTGACAATTCTCTGTTCTTCCTAAGTCTCTGATTTTTTAGTCTCTGTCCATGTTCTGTTATCATTCCATTTGTCAAGGTTTTATTTTGGTAATCATGTATTTGTTTTCTCTAAGACCTTTTTCATGTTGGCATCTTCATGGTTTTTATGGATGGTACATTCTTGAATTTTCTGAGGATATGTATTTTTAAGTCTTACATAACCATTTTTTCAGAATTTGATCCTCTGAGAAAAACCAATATGAAAAAGAAGGCATCAATTTCAGCAAATATTTGGTGTTTTTCTAGTATAAGTTAGGATTTTGAGACTGACAAATATTAGTAGCTAAATATATCTTTTGTTCAGTGGACTATCTTCCAGAAATTCCTTCTTTTCAAGCCTTGTCAAATTTCCTTTGTTTTTTTTTTTTTTTTTTTGAGACAGAGCCTCAAGCTGTCCCCCTGGGTAGAGTGCCGTGGCATTACAGCTCATAGCAACCTCCAACTCCTGGGCTCAAGCGAGTCTCCTGCCTCTGCCTCCCAAGTAGCTGGGACCACAGGCGCCCGCCACAACGCCCGGCTATTTTTTTTGGTTGCAGCCATCATTGTTGTTTGGCAGGTCCGGGCTGGGGATTCGAACCCGCCACCTTAGGTGTACGTGGCTGGCGCCTTAGCCGGTTGAGCTATAGGCGCCGAGCCAAATTTCCTTTGTTGTTATAGATTATTGTTACCGTTTTATGTCTTCACTTAATTGGTATTTATAAGAAGTAAAAGAATTGTGTATTTTTAGCCAGCCATTTCAAATAACCATTTCTGTTGATCAAGAAGAGCACAGCAGTAGGTAATCTTTTATATTATTACATTAAAGCCACCAAGAAAAATAAGATGGAGTGCTATTTAAGAAAAAGATTAGCCATTGGGTATATGGCTCTTTTTAAAAGGCTATACCATGTAGTGCTCCAAATAGACATTTTTTGCATTTTAACAAACACTGTAAATACAGAAGAGAAAAAGAGGGGAGATAGGAAGCCTGGAAAAGAGAGTAGCAAATACAGATCTACAGGGAAACACTAAACCATTTTAATTTGTATAGGATAACAAAAATATGTTTAGTAAATATTTGCATCTGTCACAAACATTGAAATATCAATTGATAATACCATTGTTAGGTCCAGTATCCTTACAAAAATAATGAGCAATGTATAAAATTTTTACTTATCATATCATGTGTTAGATGTGCAACACAGGTACTTGTAAAGATACAAGTTTGTGTTAAGTGAATCCTACAAAATAAGGTTCCTAAAAATAAGGCATTTAATGTATGACTAAATGCCAAACAGAAGATAAGCACCCATTCTATGGAATATAAGGGAGATGAGAGAACTTGGTAGGAAGATTCAGAAAACATTTCAAAGGACCTAGAAGAATGGGTAAAATTTGGTAAAGAACTATTCAGAAGGATTGGAAGAGCCAGTTGAGGTGGGAAAGCATACTCATTAAAAGTTAATATGGGCAGCGCCTGTGGTTCAAGTAGTAGGGGGCTGGCCCCATATGCCAGAGGTGGTGGGTTCAAACCCAGCCCTGGCCAAAAACTGCAACAACAACAAAAAACTTAATAAGGGCTCAGCACCTGTAGCTCAACCAGCTAAGGTGCCAGCCACATACACCAGAGCTGGCGGATTTGAATCCAGCCCAGGCCTGCCTAACAACAATGACAACTACAACCAACAAATATCCGGGCGTTGTGGGACCAGTACCTGTAGTCTCAGCTACTTGGGAGGCTAAGGCAAGATAATCGCTTAAGCCCGGGAGTTAGAGGGTCCTGTGAGCTGTGATGCCATGGCATTCTACCCAGGGAGACACCTTGAGGCTCTGTTTAAAAAAAAAAAAAAAGTTAGTATGTACTCTGAAGGGTGAGGCAGGAGCACTGCTTGAGCCCAGGAGTTTGAGGTTGCTGTGAGCTAGGCTGACTCTACCACACTCTAGCCTGGGACAACAGAGTAAGACTATCTCAAAAAAAAAAAAAAAAATTTACTCTAGAGGCCAGATTGCTGAGTTCAAATTTTGACCATGGCCCTTATTTGCTTTTATCACTTTAAAAGATGTCTTCTCTGTGCTTCTGTTTTTGTTTTTTGTTTTGCTTTTTTACTAAATGAGAATAATAGGACCTACCTTTTAAAATTGTTCTAAGAAAGAAATTAATCCACATAAAGCATTTAAAACAATGTGTGGCATAAACTATTATTGTTAGCTGCTATCATCATCATGAGATTTTTGGATTGTGAAAGAACAGAGTGTATTCATTGGCTAGTAAATGAACTGATATGATTAGAATACACAGCTCCTATTATTGGGAAGTAGTAAAAGAATGTGTTAAAAAAGTCACTTGGGGAAAAAAAAAATCACTTGGAGGCTAGACATTGTGGCCCACACCTGCAATTCTAGCACTTTGGGGAGGCTGAGGCAAGAAAATTACTTGAGGTCAGGAGCTTGAGTCCAGCTTGAGCAAGAGCAAGACCTTATCTTTACAAAAAGTAGAAAAATAAGCCAGGCATGTGGCATGTGCCTGCATTCCTAAGGACTACCTGGGAGGCTGAAGGATCCCTTGACTCAAGAGTATGAGGTTGCAGTGAGCTCTGATGACACCACTGCACTCTACCTGGGGCAACAGAGCAAGATCCTGTCTCAAAAAAAATTAAAGGGCAGCTCCTGCAGCTCAAAGGAGTAGGGGGCCAGCCCCATATACTGAAGGTAGCAGGTTCAAACCTAGCCCCAGCCAAAAACTACAAAAAAAAAAAAAAAATTAAAAAAGAAGTTACTTGGAGTCAGAACATGGAGCTCTTCAATTCCAGGCTAAGAAGTAGCTAAATATTCTTTTATGAAAAAGGAAACAAACTCTGGCTGGGTGCCCATAGCTAAGTGGTTAGGGTGTCAGCCACATGCTTCAGGGCTGGTGGATTTGAACCTGGCCTGGGCCTGCTAAACAACAACAAAAAAAGAAAAATAACCAAGTGTTGTGGCTGGCGCCTGTAGTCCCAGCTACTCAAGGGGCTGAGGCAAGAGAATAGCTTGAGCCCAAGAGTTTTGAGGTGGCTGTGAGCCATATGTGACACCATGACACTCTACGGATGGTGACAAAGTGAGACTCTGTCTCGATTTAAAAAAAAAAAAAAGGAAACAAACTCAAAAAGGTTACATAGATTGTCCTGAATTATCTAACTTTTAAGTTAAAGACCCAGGATTTGAACTCCCCCTGTTTCTGTCCACTCTGTAGGGCTGAAGGTACTTGTTAGGAAGATTTATTTCTACAATATCCATAAATCTGAATTTAGGTGATGGCTAGAAAAATGGGTAAGGAAGGGACAAGTTCCAGAAATGAACAGAATTGAACTAGGTAAACTTTCAGCTCCTTTCTATTGGTATTCTTATCCCTCTAGGTTTAGAAAGAATGTGCCCATAGCTCAGTGAGTAGGGCACCAGCCACATACACCAAGGGTGATGGGTTTAATCCCAGCCCAGACCTGCTGAACAACAACTACAACAACAACAACAACAAATAGCCAGGCGTTGTGGCAGGCACCTGTAGTCCCAGCTACTTGAGAATCACTTAAAGCCAAGATTTAGAGGTTGCTGTGAGCTGTGATGCCACAGCACTCTACTGAGGGTAACACACTGAGAGTCTGTCTCAAAAAAAAAAAAAAGAGTATCTTCACGTGTATGAAGATTTTTTAAAATTTTTTTATTATTTTATTTTCAGAATTTGTAATCTGTTTTTCTCATGTGTACTCTTTAACAGGTTTTAGATGGAGCAGGATTAGATATTGATTTCCATCTTGTCTCTCCAGAAGGCAAAACCTTAGTTTTTGAACAAAGAAAATCAGATGGAGTTCACACGTAAGTAATCTCCTTTAATTGGGTTCCTTTAGCTGAGTACTAATTAGGATTTGAACTACCCTTTGTTTCTGTACACTGTATAAGGCTGAAGGCACTTGTTAGGAAGATTTATTTCTACAGTATCCTTAAATGTGAATTTAGGTGATGGCTAGAAAAATTGGTAAGGAAGGGATAAGTTCCAGAAATGAATAGAATTGAAGTAGGTGAACTAGATTACCTGTAAGGTTACCCTAGGTTATCTATAAGGAAGGGAGGTTTAGCACATTCAGTACTAAGTATCAGTATTAGATAATTCCACATGATTTTAATTAGCCCATAATAATAGGCCATCTTACAAACTAAAAGTTGGTTCATTAACCTTTCTCTCTTTATTTAGGCTTTTTTTGTCTGTTTGGTTTTAGGGTTTGCGGGGGGG